TTTCTGATCGGCGAATCTGTGCTGATTCCTTTTAAGAGGCACAACGATGTGATATTGGCTAGCATCGTATGGTAAGCACCATTTAGATCTTCATACAGAGCATGATCAGATACAGTGAAGTAGCATGGTAGTTTTGTTTCCCATGTTTAAGAAAATTTTATTTCGCGTTATTTTACGGTTCCTTTAGGTATCTAGTGTTCTATTCTCCATTCGACGTTGTCTACCGTCTGTTGAAATTCTTGCCTTTCAAAATCGTCATTTCGGTTGCGAAAGAAATACAACGTACGGACAAGGTGTACGCTGGAGTGATCCATACGATGAAAGTTTATCCGAGTGCCTATTTGCTTATGGTCATCATTGGCGCAGTGAAGGGTATGTGTTTCTGTGACTTTGGCGACGACAGCTGTGAAGACCGGCTGATTGCGTGCAGTACTGAATTTCAGGGGCTGGTAGCGGAATCATTAGGACATTCGAACAGCTCGTCAGGGGTGTTTGGGCACCGACTACCAACGAGCTTCTGCGGCCAACCTTGTAAGCGGTTTTTTATTTTTAACAGATTTTAGCGTCGCTGTCTTTATTCGTCGTTGGTATTTGAAAGCAGATGAATTTAGATCAAGATTATAGTGTTTGTTGCCAGTAGTATTTCGCAGTACTAGCCTATAAATTAACGATTTTTTTGTGTAGTGTTATTTTTTAATATTCGGAAGTCCACTAACACTCGTCGATTAACTTCGATTTTGGTCAAAATTTTCCCGTTGTCGCTTTTTTGTTTTTTTATTAAGTGTGAACTTCTCAATTAATTTTTACTCCTCTTATGTCGCTGTAGAGGTAAAGCGTAAATTGAACTTGATGCTTTGCGACTTTATTCGTTGAGCTTGAAATTTGCTGTTTTCGTTAAAGCACGTATGTCCGTTCTGATTCGGAGGTCAGGGCACCGTGAAGCATTTACCGTTTAGAGCAGCTGTGCTATTGTTTTGAATCAAGGCTGAAGTCGTTTGCGCAGGTGTAAGCCGTTTCCGGTACGCCACAGCCTGATCAGCTATGTATATAGGCTTTACAGGGAACAACATTCTCTGCTACAACAAAATTTGGGTGTCATTGTCTGGAAAAGCGTACCGCATCATTTTGAGAATTGATTATCATTATTAATCTTTGGAGCAGAAGGCATTATTTGTCCTTCTTCTTTGAAACTGTTTCATTTTGTGCATGTGTTTTCATGTATTGTTCATTTGGTACTTATATATGTATGAAAGTGTGGTGACACCAGTTTGTTTAAATGCAATTTTTAAACACTTGTTGTTTAGCACGACCAAGGCTTGCCTGGCAGCTAGTCTCATCTTCGTGGTCGAGAAGAAAACGAACCTCTTTGCGGCACCGCACGAATTCGTCTACTTCGCCGTCGTCGTCTTTCTGATTTACTTCAAGCTAAGTTCTCTGCTTCTTGGCATTCACGATCCGTTTTTGCCGTTTGAAAATCTTTTCTGCGCCATATTTATGGGCGGAATCTGGGATGCGCTTAGGTAAGTGGGAATTTTCAAAACCATTTTCAGCAATGCCATATTGTTTTGCCTGCAAACTGAGATTGCTATTTTTTGTTACTTGGAATATTGTTTGTTTGTACATTTTTATTAATGATACAGATTTATGCATCTCGGTAATTCCCGCATTTTTCGATCAGTTGAAAGCGTCAGCCTCAAAGTCAATGATATACTTTCAAGATATGATATTGTTTTATTTTTGGGGCAGAGAAAAACTGAACCATTTGAATCTGATTTTATGAGCTATCATTGTCAACATTTATGAGAACAAATTTCATCTCATGGTCATCGATCTCATTTGCGCTTCTCTGATGGGGCGTATTTACAGTATACTTTTTCATACGACTATTTCTTGTCATCGGGTTTCATGGCTTACTGTAGTCAGGGGTATTTATGCATGCCTTTGCTCTTCGGTGGTCCAGTAGTGACTAAATTGCTCTCTAGAAAACCAGGTGAATGGGGGTGGTACGGTACTTCCTGGAATGATATGATTAGTCTAATTGAACTTGCAGTTAATGCTGATAATTGTTAGCTCATTCTGACAGTTTTTATCGGCTTAGTAAATATGACAGAATTGAATTTATTTATATCAGGCTGTGAGAATTTCACATACTGTTGCCTTTTTATCTCACAATAGAGATACGGTAACTACTTATGGCTACTTTATAATAGCGACAGTTTACTCGTCATTCATGTCACTTGCCGAATCTCAGTACCTACGCCAATGTGTCTCTTGCGATTTGTCGTCACAAGCTCATTTAGCTTAACTTTCCACCTGAGCCTACGCCTTTTAATTACAGTCCTGTAGTTGCTAATCTTTACTAATCCGTTACTTCTTAAATCCTTAGGCCATCCGACAGTCTGCCATGTGGTCCACCGTAACCAAACCACAGTTGCAATCAAGAAGTGAAGGGTTTTGTTTTTCATTTCTTTCTATCTGTGTAAATGGCTTAGACCACTGTCCACGCTTCAGAAGTTTATTGGACAGAAGTTCCGTTTACCCTTCATCCCGACCAAATTGGGTTTCACGTGACGGCTCTGTGAGGTTTTGCCCGCTCAAAGTTTCCCTCTACGGGTTCTGAACAACCACCTCTACTCTGGTGCCTTACTCTACCCCTAGGAGCGGTGCCTAAATTGGCGGTGATTATACATCTTAAAGAATTTTAATATTTTACTATATCGATAAAAGGATGGAATGCGTCTCAATATGACCATTGCTAAATATGAATTCTGTTACATACGTACAGAAATAGCCGTTTTTATGTCGTCTAACCCCTTATTGTTGTTTTGTGGAACCTGAAAAGCAGCGAAGATATTCGTTATGGTTAGAGCACGTGAATCATCACCGTGGCCTCATGTTCCTTTAAATTCTTATTTTTTAAGGAAATATTTTATTGTGTACACAAAGGCGATTGTAGGTCACATCTGAATTGTAATTTTCACCGAATTTAATTGCAGTGGTCTGTTGCCGGTATTTCAATTCACCGACCATCGTTAGGCCTGTTGAAGACTGATATTCGGTCAATCGAAGTATTTTCATGGTACTGTTGTTTTTGTGTATATGTGTGACAGGAGAACGTCTAAGTTGTGTATTTTTCGCATAGCTACTACTGACAGAGATAACAGGCGGCAATAGACGGTGTCCATTAAATCGACATGAACTGCGTTGAAGATCATTACATTACAATGAGACGAGATGGAGGACACTTGTCGGCTATTTTAGCATTTAGGGGGATTTCTGCATGTTCCATTTCACCTTGGTACGAAATAGTGTACATTTTTCCTTGGTCTGTAGCCCTCATAACAGCGACTTTGTTAGATTTGTCTGCGTAGTTTTGAAGTGTTTTTAGACTCTGTGTAATGGAACAATTTAAAATTAATTTTGCATCTCATTTCTTTGGATTTGAAATGTAATGATATTCTCTATGCTTCTGCACACGTGGGCTATCTTTTAAAATCAGACCACGGTTATTCTTTTTAATTCTAGAGAAGTGATGGCGTGGATTAGTTTATCTATTTTAGTAGTGTAGATCGGCTATTGTTTTTTACCCAAAGACAGGTTATGGTATTTCGATTTGCTATCGGGATGGGGTAGCAGATTTCTCGGTTGACCCCACAGAGTCATACGATATCTCATTCGCAGAAAACAGGTACTCAAAGGCTATGAAACTGTAGCCTTTTTAGATGGTCCCATAGCATCTGAAAGCAAGGGTGAGTCAGGTAAAACGGAAAATGATGCCCATTAATATTTGAGTATTCTCTTCCTTACATGTGCTGCTGCGTGCGTCTTTTTCAGATCGTCCATCTGCGGCTGCTATTTCGATGGCCGTTGTGGCAGTGGCTAACAGACGCCGATTTGTCGATATTCACTTAGCAACGAAGGTCTGGCTGTTATTGATTATGACAAACCACTCTCTCGTTGAAGATGTTTAGACTCACTAGTTAGTTTTATTCTACTATGTAGAAACTGGGTACTGCTCAGTTGGTTCCGCACTGGCCGAGGTCGGAGCACTCTTAACGATTACCGATAGGGTAATTATCCAAAGCACTCTGATCTGCAGAAGTAAGGATCCTCACGATTCCAAGGACATGGGAGTTCTGAACTCGCTTGCTAATGCTTTTGGAAATTGTATTCTCTCTTTCTGAATTCTGTAAGTATTTTTTCCCAACTGTAGTTGAAACCGACTTTTGTTTTCTTTGTGGTTTCTTCCATAACTTCTACGCCCCCCCGATGAAATACGTCATCGAACAATTTTATTTAAGTTTTTTTGCTTATATGTGCTTCCATGGCATGCTTGTCATCGTCAATTTTTTCTTTGTTTCAGTCGAGCCGTGGCTACAAGTCGAGAGCGTCGCAATGCTGCTCAAGGGATATCTGAACCAGTTGCTGGCTCCAGTGCGAAGGATTTGAAGAAGGATTTGTAGCTGCGTTTGCCAGTGGTGGTTGTGCGGTGGGTGAAATGTTGGTGCTTTAGCATAACTTGTTTTGTGAATACTGTACCAATTGTCCCTTACGTCTTACGTCTTTCTTTGCTGTTTTAATTTTAACTGTACGATATTAGTTTTACGCTCATTTTGTGTTCCAATTGGTTTTTTTGGCTTGGCAACAGTGAACTTATTGCGTCGTCATTAGCGACGTTTTCAAGGTGCTACATATTGTCTTACCTTCTTACGTTCGTTTCTAGTTTTATGTCGGCAGCTGTGGTTGAAATAGAAAAATGATGTGTTTTTCCTCAGAAGAGCTTCATGTTGTGAATATAGGCATTTGTTTAAATTAGATTTGCTCTTACGTGTGATGCCATTACTGGTATTTCTAAGGCAGTGCTTTTGCGAATACCATCTACAGTTTTTCTAATTTGTATTGCTATTGGCCGATTGTGTGGTATTATTTTTTCGTGTGAACTACTAGTGAGTGAACCAAGTTTCGTGTCTCAACGACTTCACGGCCTGAGGCAACTAGTGATTGAGAGCTGTTGTTATGTCAAAGTAAATTTCTCGTCTTTCACCAGTAATCTGTTTTGAACGTGTTTTACTGCTTTGATTGGCGTTAGCGCTATTGATGATTTGTCTTCAGTCCTCATTAAAGCTTTACGATAAATTAGAGCTGAATCTGTCTGTTTAAAGTCGTTATAGATTGTGCTTTTTTGGTCGATGGTTCCAAAAATGCTTTGCTGTCGTTGTTGACTCCAAACTCTAACTGGGAGCAAGTTTTTCTCTTACTGCTAATTTCTTTAGGCCATTAGTGACTATTGTTTGGATCGTTTGCCTGATAAATGTTTTGCACATCTCTGGTTAGTGAAATTTCTAGACCGTCTATTTTCATGCTATAATTTAGGCATTTGGTGACAGTGATGAAGTCGTAGTCTGCATTTGAAATCTTGATCCATATATCGGACCTGACACCCTACGTTTTCCACAACCATAGAGGTTTCAGGAATGAGAGGCTTTAGATTGCATCAGTACAAGGATAAAATTCCTGTATATACTGCACAGCAGTTAGGATCCTCGGATTCCTGTCCCTGTCTGAACTATACAGTAGGATCGAGATAGTTGTCAAATCGAAGATCTTCGCGAGTTAGGCTGACGCTTCGTTGAGAAATTTTCGCAAGTGTTTCAAGTGCTGTTAGCGATGGGGCAGGTGTGCATAGTAGCGGTTCTCGTTGTGAACGTTTGAAGATGCGTATTTTAAGAGATTTTCATAGAATGAGTAATCTGGCATTATTTTTTTTCGATTTCCTCGTCACTAGTTTTTTCAGCTGTGGTTTAAACTGATTTTCTGAACCGTCGTAGTCCAAATTTGATACCGCATAGAATAACGTTGACCAAATGTAAAATAGGGTGACTAGAATTCCCGTGATGTATTCCATTAGTTATTGTTGCTAATGCAGATGACTCTGTCATCGTTTTCGGTTCTACTTATTTGTGCAGGCTGTAGCAAGTAACAGCTGTCTAGTAAGTTGAACGCTGAAGTTCTTTCAATAAGAGAGCTTTTAGTAGAGTTGTCTACAGTAAAACTTAGCTACCTAGCCCTCGTGGTGTAGCGGATATCGAGGATTATAATGGCTCCGTTCTCGTTCAAATAATTAAAGGCTGCGCAAGCCATTGCAGAATTGACGCACAGTGTCAGTGATCAGAATCTGCTTTTTACTTTCCGGCAGCTGCTGGCATAGTAACGTACTGGCACTTGCCAAAGATCGTCTAGAAGGCCAATAGGATAACAGTCTGCGCATCGAAGCCGATTCTTGTTCTGAACGGAGAAGACAGACAACGCGATGCCATCATATCAAGTAGGATAAGGTTCCACGGGAACGACATGGACAAGTATAGCAACAGTCAGATACTCAAGCATGTAAATGAGGAAATGAGCAACAACTAGGTGATGAAGTCGGAAACTACAGACTGTATACCAATTGTTCAAAGATCATTATGGCTCTAGATTCCTGAACTTTTGCTGGTGTAGGCTATTTTACTCAGGTATTGACTCGTCT